AGTTATATATAGTAGTGGTAAAATGAGGAATATTTTTTTACATTAAAGACAAAAAATTCTAAGTCACCTATATAATGATGGCATCTAAACTGCTGATGATTACTAGGATCAATATCTTAGAGTTATGTTACATAACCTAATAAAAATGCAACCCTGCATGGAGCAAAACTCACCACTAGAGAAGTTAATCAATTTCATTATGAAACTGCACAAAGTTAGGATTTTTTCGTTAACATTAAAAAAGACTATCTTCCTTTAACTTAAATCCATTTCAGTTTCTGCACTCTGGAACAACATATCTTAACTTTTTTGTGACATCATTTCAGGTATTTGAGAGTGCTATCATATCCCTCCACAACATTCCCAATTTCTTCAACTCGTTCTTGTAAAAACAAAGGTCCTAATCCCCGACTATTCTCACCGTCCTTCTTTGAACCTGTTCCAGTTTCTCTGAAATCTTAATGCCCTGCACTAAACATAATATTCAAGGGTAAGGTCTAACTAACACATAATAAAGAGAAACTATTACTTCCTCTGATTTGTAAAATATATTTCTGTTGTTGCAACCTAAAACTGTATTTGTCTTTTCTGCAACCATATCAAACTGCTGACTCACATTCAGATTGATAATAAATTCAATTTGCAATTCCAATATCTTTTTTGTAAGTATCAAGCCAGGTATTTCCCCATCCTACACCTACACACTTGACTTTTGTTTCTTAAAAAGGGGAATCCTTCAAACCAACATACAACCAGTGGTAAGGTAAACTCAACAGGTGATATAGCAATTGGTCTCAGCACTTTCAAGCCACCATCCCTCCACTCACCTCAACGTCAGAGAAGGTTGCATCAAACACCCCCACATCCCCCTCCATGCTCACCCTGCATCCACTCAACTCATAAGCACCACACTGTCTGGTCGCTCTCAGCCATCCAGCAGGGAGCCACTCTCCCCCCAGCTCTCACCCAGGGGAGAAGGACAACTACACTTACCTGACTCTCACCAAATGCACCCCCCCAACCCCAGGATCTCCTGAACAATCTCCCAGGGCAAGATCGTAATCCCATACAAAAATCAACCTAAAAGAAAATCAGAATGGCAGTCCAAAACCATTCCGCTCCGCACCAAGTGCTGTTGCAGCCACCAAGCAGTCACACCATGATGCCTCCAAGAGTCCGAAGCGCTCAAACACCAATAAGGGTCCGAAGCTCCCACAAATCAGTCAATCAGCCAAAAATCTGGCCAGTAGCCTACCATACTCCACCACATCACTGTCCATGCAAGTAGGTCTGGCTGCCGGCGAGGGCCAGGGGAGCTCATCTTCTCCATCAGCTCCACCGCCATCAGGCAATCTGTCATCTCCTGAAGTTGTGGCAGCTGCGGCAGCTGACTCTCAGGCTCTCAGACTTGGGCTTGGGTCTAGCCGTTCACAGTACAAGGAAGGTAGTCCACTGGGGTACAGGGGAGTCCAGGGGGAGTTGAAAATTACTCTTGCAGTCATCACTGTATCTTTCTGCCAGGGACCAACAGAAAACAAACAATGGATTCTCCAACACTTTCCTAATCCAAAAAGGAATCTGAATGAGCAGTTGCCATAACATGTGTACCTAACCCTTTGTTTCCTCAGAAAACCTCTGGGGGTGCCACATAGTCAGTACAGTCACCTACGCCCTGGTTACCTCCCATCTTGACTACTCTACATGGGGCTGGCCTTGAAAAGTGTCCAGAAGCTTTAGTTGGTTCAAAATGCGGTGGCCCACAATGGTTTTGTGCAAGTCTAGATTTGCACATGTGTTAACTCTCTTGCAGGAGCTGTATTGGTTGCCAATTTGCTTCCAGAACCAATTCAAGGTGCTGGTTATCATCTTTAAAGCCCTACATGGCTTGGGGCCAGGTTATTTGAAGGACCACCTTTTCTCAGTTATATCTACCCAACCCACCAGATTGGGGAGGCAGGGTATGTTATGCCCCCCCGCATTAAGGAGGTCCATCTAGTGGGACTGAGAAGATGGGCCTTCTCCATGGTGGCTCCCTCCCTGTGGAACATCATCCCCACTGAGATAAGACTGGCCCCCACCTTGATAATCTTCTGAAAGGCCCTGAAGACGTGGTTTTGCCAGCAGGCCTGGGGATCCCAGGTTGATATAGAGCCTATCAAGAGGTTTGTTTGAATGTATTATTGTGGCCGGGGGGTGGGGTGTAGTGGGTTTTGTATTTGGGGTCTTATTTATGTAAACCACCTGGAGTCACCGTGAGTTGGATGGCCATATAAATTGCTTTAGTAATTTTTTTAAAAAATTGAGTACGTACTAGCCTACTTAAAGCTTATTTTTTCCTCTGCCTTTTCAGTTTAACTTCTTTATACTTTTATTGGTTTTAAGCAAATGTATATATAAATAGTTCAATCGCTCCTCTGTCCCTCTCCCATGGTTACAGGTGGACTATCCACATTTTTTAAAAAGCATCTTCTGTGGCTTCATTTTTAGAGATTCACAAATAGTCATTGTTCTTCATAACTATATAGTGTGTATGTGTTGTTTTCTACTAGAGAGGTATAAAGTGTTCTGTGCACAGGCTGTTCCTTGTACAGAACAGCTTGTTTTGAGGCATGTATTTGGTCTAGGGATGGCAGAAATGTTCTGCATGTGGAGACAGTGGGGAAAAGGCAAGACCATTGGGCATAGCTAAGGGGAAGGAAGATGGGGCAGGAGCAATGAGCAAGTGCACAGTAGTTAAGAGGAAAGAAGAGGAGGGGGCAGTGGGGCTGAGTGGGAATGCCACACTTGAATTTAAGCACAGGGAGGTAAGGGGGATAAGGGTGGTGGGAAGATAGATAGGCTGGCATACAGACTATTAGGAGAAGGAGAAAAGTGCACTGGGCACCTAGTTTTGCCCTGCTTGTTTGCTAGGGTTCCTCTGGATTTTTTCTTGGCTGAAACCAGAACTACCAAAGAGATTCAAGTTTCAATTTTAAGCGCACAATTTGCCTGTAATGGTCCAGGCAGACTTCCATGCCACAGTATATTCACCCCTTGGATGTGGCTATTCATCCACATTTCTATAATTGAATTATACAGAAGAGGGAATAGTAGACATCCCTATTTTATGCTTCTTCAAATTAGGAGTAAATAATTGTAATTATTACTTCTGATTTGTGCTTTTACAGTTTATATATTTGATCTATCATTTTCTGAAAGGTATGACCAAATTTAAATTTATGTAGGGTTTTTTTTCCAGAAATAGTCCTTCCACACCAAACCTTTTAGTATATGAAAAGAGCATACAGACAGGAAAACTGAATTACCCCTTTTCTGATTCTTCTTTTTCCTGATTATTTAAGCAATTTTTTTTTTAAAGTATCTCTTGAGATACTTTGATTTTCTGTGTTATGCAGGGGATTGGACTCAGTGGCCAACATGGTCTCTTCCAGCTCTGTGATTCTATGTTGTGATTGTTTTATTGCCACTATTATTATCAAAATGATTCTGCTAATGTCACTGTATGTTCATAGTTTTTCCATGATCATCTGTAGAGACCTCAGAGCCAGAAGTATATTTTTCACACACTATAGGAATTGTTCTGAATGGTTGTAGCATTCTATCAGAGTGGCTGCTAAGATCCTCAGGGTCCTGTTTACCAATAGCATTTTAGCTATGGTGGTCATGGCAAAGGAACAGGAAACAGCTGTGTTTCCAGTGGTATTAACAACAGGAAAACAACCATCCTGATTATTGTTTGAATAATAAATGCTTTTAGTATTACTATACGTTTTTGTGTGTCTCTGTGTGCCTTGAAGTCAGTCTTGATTCCTGGCAACTGCCTGGGCAAGTCCATTCAGTTTTCTTGGCTACATTTTCAGAAGTGGTTTGCCATTGCTTCCTTCCTAAGGCAGAGAGGAGTGACTGGCCCAAGATGCCCAGCTGGCTTTGTGCCTAAGGCAGGACCAGAATTCACTATCTCCTTGGTTTTAGTCTGGGGCCTTTAACCACTACACCAAAGTTGCTCTCTGTTCTGTTTCCTAGGAGAGATTTAAAACTTTCCCCTCTGCTGTGTTCTTATATGCATATAATATATGAATGGTAAGTTAGACCACCAGCCCAACAGAATTATATTTGCTACTGATGCAGTCAGAATATGATGAGATTAGTGTCAGAGTCCTTTATTGTTCCGTCTGTATCTTGTAGTTCATTAATAAAGTTAATAATTTAATGCTACAGTTGGTATTAGAGTATTTTTATGAGAGAAACTATGAACTGAGCCACTTCAGTATTATATATAAAAATATAGCTACATCATATGCTTGAGTTCATAAGCAATGAATACTAATATTTTAAATAACTCTGCATTACTTTTTGACTTTACTTCATCTTAGTGGTTTATAGTTAATTACTTTTGAATAGTAATATAACTTCTGAAATAATATTGAAAGGATCTTAAGGTAGCTGAAAATTTAAATAGTGCATACATTTGTGGATGACATGTAAACTTAAAAAACAGATGTGATGGCAAACCAGTAATTTTTCAGATACAGGTAGTCCTCGTTTAGCTACAGCCTTGTTTAGTGATCATTCAGTTACAATGGTGATGAAAAAGTAATTTTACGACCAAACCTCACATTTACAACCTTCACAGGTCTGTAAAGTTTGAAAGCTGAAGTAATATCATAAGCACAGTTGCGGTTTCATTTAGCAACCACTTCCCTTAATAACCAAGTTGCCAGTCCCAATTGTGGTCACTAAATGAGGACTACCTGTATTGGAGGACTATATTGCAAGTTACACCATTTAGTATTGCTCTATTTTAATGTAACATTGTATACCTTTTAGAAGCATTAACATAGAAAACACAGAATAACCAATGCTTATGTTTTCTCTCATCTTATTCCAGTACTGAGAAATTGAATTTTGGAAATATTCCACCTGGTTTGTGGATCTCTCATACCTTACACTGTCAGCATTGCGGTTCTTGAAAACATTTATCTATTTTTCTATTAGCCTTGTAATACATCCGAGGAATGTACAATGACATCAGCAATAGTTCACAATGGAAGTTCAAGTCTGGAATTTGACAGCAATGGAGTACAGATTCAAGGCAAGGTCAGAAAATGGGAGAAACCATATGTTCACGTAAATTCAAAATATATTTTTGGAAAGCAAGATTTTGTAAAGAAGATAAAAATGTAAATGTATGGATAGTAGTAGTTAAGATGTTGGGCTGGGGGACTGTCCTACCCTCAGTCATGGGCAGTCACTATCTCTTAGTCTAGCTAACCTTACAAGTTTCCTTCTGTAGGGAAAAAAATGGAAGACAGAGCACTCTGTATGCTGCCTTGAATTTCCTGGGGAAAGGTGGGATATAAATCTAAAAAATAATTTAATGAAAAGCCAAAAATCTTGAATAAATTTAATTATCTAACTGAAATCAGAGAATTCTCTCTCAGGCCAACCCACCTCACAGGGTTGTTGTTGTGGGGAAAATAGGAGGCAGGAGTATTAGATATGTTCACCACCTTGAATTGATCAAAATATATTTAAAAAGGCAGGATAAAAATATAATTAAAATAATAATAATAATAATAATAATA